GATTTTTGCATACATTGAGTTGGTAGGGGAGGGACACACAATGTAGCCCAGACCACCAAGAATATGTCAGAGCTTTTCAAATGCTTTATTCACCAAAGCGTCTCATTCTTGAGCTTTTCCTACCAAGGGTTTTGGTTAGTCTGTTCTTTGTCCGAGCTGTTACCCATCATTCCAGGTAACCGTGATTAACACACTGTCTTTAACTCTTTACCTGAGGCCCCTGGGCGGCTGCCTGGGATCTGACGGAGTTCCTTCTTAGACGAGATAGAGGGAGACCCTGCAAGCCTGTGCTCCAGGGAGCTGTCCACTGAGGTGCTGTGGAAGGGACTGTTCCACGTTCGTGGAAGCCCTAACCCTCACTGTCCCTGTTAACCCTCACTGTCCCTGTGTGGCTGCATTTGGGGATAGAAGACGAAGTCAAATCACAAGGATAGGGCTCTACTCCCAGAAGTTTGGTGGCCTTATTAGAGGAACAGGAGAACCAGCATGTGTCTTTCTCTCTCCCATGTGAGAGGCAAGCAGGTTAACGCACTGCTTAAAACCACCAGAATCTTGTATGAGTGAGGTACATGATTCTGCTCACACTGGACCATCACCGCACCAGGCCAAGGCCACCACTGGGGAGTGCGGATGTGGGACCGGGGTAAGTTACCACCACCAAGTTCCTGGGTTTTACTGAGATTCAGCTAGGTTTTCTTGATTAAGCGACTCCCTCCTTCCTGCAAGTCTTTCCTTAGTCTCCGGAATTTCATAAAAGGTGTCTTGGGCAGTTTTTACCAGTTCAGTTATTTTGGAGGGAAGCACTTTTGGTGTCTCTTACGCCTCCATTTTCATGGACCTCAGCTCGAGGTGACAATGCTATGGTGACACAGCTTCCTCCTCTTAGTCTCCTGCGGCTCATGACAAAGCTTTATGACTTCTCAGGCTTGCTTCTGACCCTAGAGCTGTCTTTTTAAGAGCTGGGGCCAGGCCCTTCTCTGGAGAAGCCAGTGAGTGCCCCACGTGGAAAGGACCAGAAGCCTGAGCTGACAGCCAGCCCTGCCCTCCAGACAGAGCAGACTCCCCTCCAGAGGCTTCAGCCGCTGCCTTCCATGCAGACCCAGGTGCCCGGAGCAGGGACAGGCTGGCCTGCTGTGCCGTCAGCTTCTGACCCATAGACTCCAGGGGTACAATAAACGGCACTTTTATGCCACTGCATTTTGTGGTAATTTGTTGAGCAGCTGCAGAATAGAACAGTTCCCAAGCAGTGGCCAGGGCTTTCCGTCTCTTGGTACCTTCAGGCTTCTTGGCCGTCTTGGCCTCCGCAGGCAGCCAGGAGCCTCCAGAGCGCTGTCTCACTGCTGCCCCTTCCAGTGCTGACAGCCCCACTCTTCCTAGACTTCGTAGCCGTCCTCCTCCTCCCAGCCATTCAGGCTCGAAACCTCAGAAGTTCTGACTCATCCTTCCCTCAGAGGTAGCCAGCACGCTGTTCTCTTTTTCACAGCGCCTCTTGCTTTTTATTTTTCTGCAGAACTAGGGGTTGAGCCCAGGGCCTTCACACTGAGCTATACTTCAGCCCTTTGTATTTTATATTTTCATTTTTAGATAAGGTCTCGCTGCACCGCCCAGGCTTGGCTTGTGTCTCTTGGGTTTTTCCTCCCATCCTAACCACGTGTGCACGAGGCTGCAGGTGTTCATTATAACCTCCAAGAAGACACTGCTAGTCACAGGCAGGGCCTTCAGGTATGTCACACTAGTAGGAGGGTAGTGTTCTGCATGCCTGTAGTCTCGGTAGTCAGGAGGCAGAGGCTCTGCTGCAGCTCAAGGCCAGCCTGAATTACATAGTTGAGACCTTGTCTCAAAACAAAAATTAAAAATTGTAAAAAAAGGGCAGTGTTTAACGCCTCCAAGGACAAGTAATGATACCATTTACAGCTACAACATGGCAGTCAGGGGCTTCGGAGAAAGCTGTCCTACTAGGACGATACAAAAGCAAGCCGCTTTTGGCCTGCAGCACTTGTAGTCACGGAATCCACTTTGATCCTGGGTTTAATCAAAGCTTTCCCTTGAGCTCCTGTTCTTTCCCTGGCTACAAATCTAAATTTGGTTTGCAGCAATCTAAAGGCATTAGATGTTATTCCATCATTGGCTGGCAAGTAAAGCCCTCGTTCTGCTCTCCAGAAATATCCGTTAAGCGCATCATGTCCTTTTCTTAATCCCTACCCACACAGTGTTTGTGGAGGGAGTTTCGGGGTACGGTTATACTTTAAGCACTGAGTGTGACCTACAGGGTTGGCTCAGCTTCTTGCCTTACAAATATGAAATATATTTCATTTTCCTCAGGTAAGGGCCCAGTTAGCCTCAGCATATGCTTTTGCAGCTACATGAGAAGTAGTCAGGTACTGACAGTTTGCATAAGGATATTTCATGTCCTGTGTAAAACCTGGGAATTTCACAGGAACTACTTACTGTAAAATCATAAAAAAATAACACTTTCTTTAGAGCTTCCACCTAAGGCCCTGAAAGCTGTTTGCTTGGACAAACAGGAGACATTTGTATCCTCTTAATATCTGTAACCTCCGAAACATTAGCATTGGTTCCTAGATGCCTTGAATCAGTTGCTCAAATCAGGCTAAAAGTATATAAGGAAAGAAACATGTTAAGGGTGTATATGCATAGTGACGGCCAGCATTCATTTCAGAATTGCAGGTTGAGCATCTAACTACGAATTGGGCGCTGTTCTAGGTGCCAGGGAAATGGTAGGCAGAAATCCTTGTCCTGATGGAACTTTCATTTTGGGCTGGAGAGAGACAGATAACAAAATAAGCAAAGCGTGTTAAATGTTACATGTTAGAATTTTAACCAAGCAAAGGGCCATCTTTTTAAAATGCTCTGTAAAGCTAGAAGGAGGGATGGATAATACTGGGGTGGGCTTGGAACCTGAGGGTTCAGGGCCCCTGAGAGTGTAACATTCCAGTCAGTAAAGGTGAGGGGTTTTAAGGGTCGGGAGGAAGACTGTCCGCTGGCTGTTGGAGGAGAACATAGAGCGCCTGCAACAGCAAGAAGGGGGTCCAGGCAGGTCTTGTTGAGCCTTTGGGAGGTTAGTGATTCATGTGCTCAGTCTGAAGCCCGGGAAGCCATTGGAAGGTTGCTAGCAGAGGAGTGACGGTCACTTTGACAGCTCATGAGGACAGGCTAGAAGCTGAGAACAATTTTTATAGGTTATACAGACCTGGGCCATGGCTGCAGCATGGCCAGGCCAGGTGACCGCAGCGGACAGTAGGAGTAGGAAGGTGAGCACACAAGATTTGCTGACAGACTCTGGGTGTGAGAGACAGCGAAGACAAGGAAACGCAGTCAGTGTGAGCGGATGAAAGACGAGTGTCCCTAATGCAGACAGAAGACTGGGAGGGACGGCTTCATGGGTGAAGATCCGCCATGCTGCCCTCGAGAGGCCTCCTGTGGAGCTCTTGAGTACCTGGGCCTGGCCCTTGGGTTGGAGGCCTGGGCTGGAGAACCCCAGAAGGGTAGCACCGGCAGCAGGTACAGCTCGGGTACTATGGGAGAGCAAGGTCACCAGGAGAGGGAGTGCAGACAGACGGCAGGCAGAGCGCCAGCGACCCAGCCTTGGGCTTCTCCAGAGCTGGAGTAGGAAGGACAACGCAGCGGGAAGCACACGGGAAGGGCGAGGTGTCAGACAGGGAGGTGGGAGAGGGCTGTAGACGGCAGTGTTGGGTGGAGATGAGGGAAGGAAAGAGTAAATCCTAATTTAGTTAGTGTAATCTTGGCACAGTGAAACCCAGCCTCTCCTGACACAAATAGTGCTGGTCCTGGCTCCATGTATAGCTACTAAGGTCACAAATTTCAGAAAACGAAAGTTTTACTTTCTCAAACAAGGGGTAAAGAAAACTGAACAAGTGACACAGACAGTAAGTGCACCTGTCAGTTTGCTATTAAAGAAAAAACTATTAAGCCTTTAAAATATTAACATTGGTTTAAAAATATTTCTCTCTAGCCAATAGGAGAACAGCTCTTCCTCAAGAGACTGGGTTGGCGACCCTCAGAAACACAGTTTAGCGTTGTAAACTTCGGCCTCCTGGCCTGGTAGCAGCACACACCCGAAGTGCAGGTTCACTGGCCCTGGCCTTCCGTATGGGTATTCTCAGCTCCCAGTGCTTGTGATCTGGATCTTTATTTACATGTGTGCCATTGTACAAACGTCTGTTTGGTCTTGGTCCCTACTTCCTGGCACAGAACTCTGAAGACCCGTAGAGTGTACTGATAGAAGTGGCTTGGGACCCTTTGAATCCCACCAGTGTGCCAATGTGGTGATGCAGGCAGGGCCCCCAGGAGAGCCTCAGGATGTGACTGGTCAACACACAGACCCAGAACTCAGAGCTCCAACCCCACAAGCTCTGGCATCTGGACATGGCGATCTGCAACGCCACATGGGACACTGAGGCTGGAGAGCTTCCCGGTGAGACACACTTGGAGGGGACAAGAAGCTAGGGTGTCTGAGAGGGCACAGCAGCACCCCTCAACCCCCTCTTTCTTGCGCTGTGCACCTCTTCAGTTTGGCTGTTCTTGAGTTGTATGCTTTATATAAACAGGCAAATGTAAATTTTTTTTTTTTTTTTGGTTTTTCTCCGGTACCGGGAACCAAACTCACAACCTTGCGCTTGCCAGGCAGGCGCTTTTGCCGCTGAGCTAAATCCCCAGCCCCTAAATTTTTTTTTTTTTTTTTTAGTTCTGCAAATCATTACTAGCAAGTTCGTAGCCAGTGGACAGAAGTAAGGGCAACGTGTGGACCCCAGACTTCTGAGTGGCATCTGAAGCAACCAGGGTCTTGTGTGACTGAAACCCCTGGAGTTTGGTACGGGCCTGGGGTAGGCAGAGAACAGCAGTATGCTGGCTTGGAGACACCGCCAGGTAACACTGACATTCGTCTTCAGCATGTCTTGTGAGTTCACACATGCTTTAGTGCCAGAGGACGGTCGGTTTAAGAGACAAGGAAGTCAGAATTCTGCATAAAAGAGTTTTATTCACTGGCCAGACCCCAATGGATAATGTTAGCCATTGCTTGATTCTGCTAAAATGTGCTGTTCAATCAATTCTTAAGAAAGTGTACAAGTGCATCACCAAAGCGGCTTAATTTCTATTGTGTAAAATAAAACTCCTTACATCTTTGTTCTCTGATAAAATTTTTAAAATACAAAAATGAAAAAAAAAAAAAAAAAACCCAAAAGCAGTATTCAAACTAATAAATGTCACCGTGGACTATTTACAGCGAGGTGCCTTTCACCAGGTGAGTGTTCTCTGCGCGGGTCTCTTCCTGTTTTCCTTGCGCCTCACAGGTCGGCGCTGTCCCCTCTGACCCTTGTCCGAGACTTCTGCCTTTGATGTGTCGTGTGGAAAACTGTCAGGTCCTCACTCACCTTTCAGTCTCTCAGATACTTCTGGCCACACTCGGAAATGATCAGTAATTCTCAACAGACATAGTATTGAGCACCTAAAATGCGCCAGGCACCGTGCTAGGGAGAAGGGGGGATGAGGACACATCGACCCCCTCAGGAAGTGCCGGCTCTGGGATGAATTTAAAAAACAATGTTTTCCACATTACAGTCCATGCAGTCCCAGGCCCTAGGAGCATGTTTAGGGATTTCTTGAAATGGTGCACTTGGGGGGGCCTGTCACTTGGCCCACAGTGACACCTGTGGGACATGGGGCTCTGGTTCTGTGATGCATAGCCTGGAACACTTGGCCCTACGGCTGCAATTTTGAACTCTGTGGGTGAGGACTGCTCCTGGGGCGTTGGGTCCAGTCTCACCAATGTCGTCTGGCAGGAAGATAATCTTTTAATTTGTAAATTCCAAGTGTGAAAAGGCCTTAGTCCCAGCACTATCAGATTGAAGCGACAGCTACATGTGAAGAAAGTCTCCCCAGGTTTCACTTGGGATGCTCCTAAACGTGCGTGTGTGTGCTGAGGGCGGAACCTGGGCCTCACACGTGCTAGGCAGACACCAGCAGCACCCCAGCCCTAAATTCCTATCTGTGTTAAGTATCCAGCAGGAGCTTTCTCTACCCATAGGTTCCGATTTCTTCACATTTCTCTGTGAATGTTTTCTTAGTTTCAAACATCAAACCTGCACGTAACTCTTTTTTCTTTCTTTTTCATGTTTTAACCCAAAGCAAGCTCAGTTCTTGCCTTTGGTCTCGTCTCTTCTTTATCCATGAGATCTAGAGAGACCCATGAGAGTTACTCTTGTTTTTTTAAAAAAGGTAAACCATGAACTATAAAACAAAAACTGTACATGACTTACTATGGAAGCAAAAATTAAACCCCTCTCTCTGCCCGAGTCTCCTGCCAGGCCAGGCAGACCGTGTCCCTATGCACGTTCACATCTGCAGGTCTTTCTCAGGCACAGTGATTCAAGTGTCCGCCGCGGCTGCATCTTCCCTTGCACACGCTGCCGCAGGTCCCTTTCACGGGGGCCACAGAGCTGACCATTGAGTGATGAAGACAGCGTTCATGGGGCAGCTCTGTCCGTGCCTTCTTGTGGAGCGTTTGGGGTCACCTCTCCGTCCAGCATCCATCCAGGCAGATGGCACCGATTATCCAATCAGGGACTGTCACAGCTTCCTCACGTGTTCATTCCAAGCCCTTTGGACCTGAAGGCAACTTAGGGAGTTGGCACCACCCCATGTCACATCTGGCCTGCCTTCTCCAGGGGAGGGAGGTTACCGTGAGACACGGGAAGAGCGTGGGAGGAGTGAGGCGTCCTGGGGTGGGCAGGAGACAGAGGAGACCATGCACAAGCTTCTGGCTCTGTCGTGCATATTTTTTTTCAGTGTAACAGCATGTATTTGGACACACAAGGGCTTGTGCTTTTCATTAAAGAAACAACTCGCCCTACAAAGCTCATTTGGCAAACAAGGCCGTGAACGTGTACGTGTGCGTGTGCGGAGTGTGTCATGAGGCTATGTGTCACTTCCTGTGAGTGTGCCCTCCTGCCCCTCCCTGGCCTCCACACCCACCTCACCAGCAAGGACAGACTGATGGGCTACACTTGGTCGGTCTGATATTCGGAAGCTTCAGACAGACTTTCAGAGAAGCTTAGGAAATTCTCCTGGTACTCGGAACACACAATCTCGTAGCGGTAGTGGCGGAACTCCACGGCGAAGGTGCCAAAGTATGACAGGAAGCACATGACCAGGCCCCACTGCACCCGGGCTGCATACATGTGGATGTCCTGGGCCATGAGGATGAAGTCTGGGGAGAGGCAGTCAAGGAAGGGACGCAGGCAGTCAGCTGTCCCCCTAGCTAGCAAAATGGGCCCCTCGTAGCGCTGGCTGAGCACTGGCAGTCCCCTGAGTGACACCAGGTGGCAATACTGAGCTCTAGGTGCCAGCCCTCCTCCTCGGTGCTTTCAGGAATAATCTCTGACTTCTCCCTGCAAGCCTTTTCTCATCAGTTGCATAAAAATAACAAAGCCCAGGCCAAGGGGGCATCCTGCCTGCGGCCGCACACTCAGGTACCAACAAGCACAGCGGGGTTTGCCCAAGCACTCTGACTCCTGGCCAGGCCTTGTGTTCAGCTCCTGCGTTCTGACACTGCAGCAGCTTGGCTAGTGAAGGACCACAACTCCAGAGCAACTAGTGGCCGGCACCTAAAGCCTGCTCCCTCACTGCAGATGACCACAGATTCATAATTATAGCTGCAGGAAATATTTTGAACACATGAAACTGCTGACTACCTCCACAAAAGCTGTATTTGACGGCAGTGCTACCGGTAGTGTCCACATGGTCCTCTTTCCTCTTCTAATTTTCTTTTTTTTTTTTTTTTTTTTGGTTTTTCTCCGGTACCGGGAACCGAACTCATGACCTTGCGCTTGCCAGGCAGGCGCTTTGCCGCTGAGCTAAATCCCCAGCCCCTCTTCTAATTTTCTCTAATTTTTTTGTCCTGGCAACACTATATTGGTTTGTTTCACTTTTGGTACCACACCAACACTTGAGCCCAAATAAAAATATGCAATTAAAATAACAGTAAAGCAACATATGACAGTGCTATTCCTGAGTATGTGTGTGAACAAGGGCACACATGGAGGAAGAGAAGCTGGGAAATGGAGCAAAGTTCATCGCATGTTTTAATTTTTTTGAGACAGGGTCTCCCTATGTAGTTCAGGCTGGTCTTCAACTCACTGTGTAGCCCAGGCTGGCCTCCAACTTGCAGCAATCCTTCTGCCTCAGCTTCCCAAGTGCTGGGATTACAGGCTTGCACACCACCCCTGGCCCATAGCATGTTTTAGTGAAAGGCCAAGAGGCTGAGCACTAAATACATTTAGAATTAGTTTTGTCTGCAGAAGTTAGACTGAAGATCTTGGGAGGGTTTTTTTGGTTTTTGTTTTCTTTTGGTTTTTCTGAGTTAGGGTCCCACTGTATAGTCCATGCTGACCTTGAATTCGTGGCAATCCTCCTGCCTCAGCCCCGAGTGTTGGGATTGTAAGCGTGCATCACCACGCCTGGCCATGTGGGAAATTGTTCAGAGAGGTGAAACTACTTGTGTCAAACTTTGCTGTCTCTTTTTTGGGGGGACGGGGAGGTTAGTGGGATTTGAACTCAGGGCCTCATGCTTGCCAGGCAGGCAAACTTTGTTCTCTTGACCAGATCTGAATCCATTCACTCAGGGGCCACGAAATAGGGACCAGAAGCCAGGGGGATCAGAACTATTCTGTGTAATTTCAAAACTTAGAATAACCGAAAGTCTGTGTGTATTCTTGTGACAGAGGATTCAAAATACTGCCAAAGCAATGCTGGCTTACTACTTAAGTTTACAGGGAAGGGATAAATCTTCCATCTCATCCTGGCAGGTTCAACTTTTCCCATCATTAAGTGTTTTAACAACTGCCAGCAAGAAACTAATTTTCTGGCACAAACTTTAAGTCCTTAAATGTTCTCTCTATGTGACTGCAGAGCTTTAGTGAAACAGTAAAACCATCAAATAGCAGTCAGGGAAGGAGAAATAAAAGACCTCAAACACTCCAATAATGAGACAGTTTTCAAAGCTAAATGTTTTCGTATTTTAAGGCCACTTTCCAGGGGGCGGGGCGGGGGACAACACAGTGGCCGAGGGCCAGAGCAGAGCCTGGGTTTAAGTCTTGACCCAGTAATACTATCTGTGATCCTGCAAATGAACATGCCTGTGAGTTCTTACTCTTACATGTTAGGTGAGGATTCAAAGAGTTAATACATTGAAAGTGCTTGGAAATGATGCCTGTCACATGGCAAGTGCCCACAAAACATTGATGATACAGTACTTAAAGATGTAGGCCTGGTGTGGTGGTATGCAACTGTAATTCCAGCTAACTGGGGAGGCTGAGGCAGGAGAATCTAAAGTTTGAGGCCCTCCCGGGCCATATAGCAAGTTCAAAGCCAGTTTGGACTACATACTGAGACCCCGTGGGTAATACACCATGCCCAGCCTTTCAGGGATTTGCCTTCTGGTTTCTCTGCTAGTACTGGGCTAGATCACTTCCAGGGTGAGGCCTGCAGTGCTTTTACAAATTTACGAGCAGTGCAGATTGATTTCCTTATCCCTGTCTGGCTCCTCATGTCTGTTCTCAATTAATTCAAACTCTGAGTGGAGGACAGAAGTGAGTAGTACTCCTGAATCTCCAGTATTTGTTTCAGAAAACTATGTGCTGTAATAAACCAGAGCTTGAATTTGTTTTCCAGAAAAACTTATTTTCCTGAACAATATAAACATCTTTGTGCCTTGAAATTCATTTTAGAAGTAAAAAAAAATTAAATGATGTAACAGGACTTAAAATCACAAATGAATTTTTTTTAAGATAGAGGAAAATCACAGTTCTCTTTTGAGTATGTATCCTATGTTTTTCACAAGTGGAAACTTACGTTGTCAGTGATAGGAGATTCCATGACACCACTTCTACAGGTGAGAACAGTCTTGAGAAGGTAGAATTTGTATTATTTTTAGTTCTCCATCTCTCTTTGGTGTGAAAGACTGGTCTGAGAGTTTTGTTTTTGTGTTCTTACTTTTCCAATTTGTCTTAAGATTCGGAGATAATCTGACTGTTCTCTTAACCCACTGGGAAAGGCAGGTGTCTCAGCTTCCACACAGACAGCTATCTGTGCTAATCTCCCCGGGGAAGACTCTTTCCTGTAAAGGATACAGAGGACGACACAGAGAGTGATGGATGCGGACAGAATCACCCGTGGGATTCCCACTTTCCGTCCTTCGTTCTTGATGTTGACTTTGAGTGTCAGGGCAGCCTGGATCCAGCAGGTCAACGTGCCAAACCCGAAGGTCAAGGACGTTCCCACGTTGTGGATTTCTTCATCATTTGCGAGCTGGGGATGAACAGAAAACGGCATTTGAAACCCACCAAGGAAAGAAGACACACGAGCAGATAGGACACGTGAGGGCATGCGCCCTGCTACGGGACGACAGAACTCAGACAGATCAGAGTCCTCCATCTCCCTGGCTGCTTCTCATCTGTCCGCAAAGGTTCTGAGGTCCAAGGAGGAAGGGCAATGAACAGCACCCCAGACCTTAACACACGTGTTTAGCAAAGCCAGGCCGGCAGTGGTGATCTGGCCCTTGAGTTTATTTCCCAGCAAAGCTCTTCGGGAAAGGAAAAGAAACACAGCTCAGGCATTGCATAAGAAGGGAAATGTCAAAGTTGCTATGAGCACATGTCCCGCACTTTGTTTTGCAGGCTAAGAAAATGAGAGCAGGGATTTGGCTGTGCGTTTCCTGACAGATGGCCAGCTCTGGGCAGGTCCAGATTTGACTGTCACAGTGAATACCCCACGGGCTGTTCTTACTCCTACAAGACCGGCCCGTGACTAATTCACTGTCAGTGAGAATTCTCTGGGTTTTGTTTTCCTACAGTAATGATAAAAACTGCCTCCTGTGAGCTTTTGCCACACCTAGAGAGACCCACAGAAGGATAGCCGGGCCAGGCTTCTATAGAGTCACCAGGTTAAATGAAGCCTGTTTGGGTTACTGCGCTTGGGGCTGAGAGAGGTAAAAATCCCTGATCCTTATCCACTTAGTTTAAAAATATATGTCACTTAAGGTTCCTTTAGTAACTACATATATATTTTAATTACACGTACAGGAAAACATAAAAACTACTATTAAAGAGATACCTTTGAAACCATGGTAAAAATACTGATTTAAAAAATTACCATCGCCTTCAGATGATTTGTTGTTTGACACTGTTGTGCATAATTGTGGCATCAAGCCAATATGATTTTTGCTTGCCAGGCTTTTCCAGTTTTTGGTTCTAGGTGTCATCTCTACGCTTAACCTCCACTTTTTGGGAAGAAACCACTTTTTCCCTTCATAATTTGAAAGAGATGTTTCCAAAATGTATTTAAAATAATGATTCCTCAAATTAAATTTTACTTCTAGAAAACTGATTTTCCATGGTGTGTACAACTTATTTTATTCATTCCCTTTGTAACCTAATTTTAAAAATAGTGACATAACTCCATGGCGCAAACCTTACACAATTATGAAGAAGGATATAGATTGAAAAGCCCATGTCTTAGGCCATACCCCAGCCCCCTAGTTCTCCACAGGCAGGGGATGTATCTGTTTTTGGTTCATTCCTGTAGCCTTTCCAGCAAGTGTCCCACATATGCAGAGTCAGCATTCATGGTCTGAATATCTGTGTTTCCACCCAATCTCTGGGGTTCTCCCAAGACTTTAGTTTTTATGGTTTCAATAGGAACTCTCCTCAAGGACTCGTGTAGAAGGCTTAGTCCCCAGTGCCACAGTGTCCAGAGGTAGCACCTGGAGAAGTGCCTGCATTATGAGGACTTTGGAGGTCCTAATATGATGTGTGACTGGGAGGTGGCAGAAACAGGGAAAGGGGCCGGGTTGAAGGGAGTGGATCGTGGGGGTGTGGATGTGGAGATTACATGTATTCCCTGGCCCCTCCTCCCTTCTTGCCTCACTATCTTTCTCTTTCTCCTCCCTGAGCAGCTTTCCTCTACCACTTTCTTCAGCCGTGATGTTTCCACCATGGAGCCAGTTGACCATGGACTGGAACTGTGAGCAAAGATAAACCTTTCCTCCTTTAAGTTGTTTTTTCCAGGTGTTATGTCATAGCAACAGAAAGCTGACTGACTCCATTAGTACAGAAGCAAATGTGCAACCAACACCTCTCACAGCCCCAGTGGAGAGAAGGGGCAGGGCTGGGCACATCCAGTGGCTGCCCTGCACCCTGGCAGGCAGGGAGGGGGACCCGCCTAGGCGGCGATGAAGACAAGCCGTGCCCAAGCCTCCTGCATCTTAACGGGATAAAGCAGCACTGTCCGAGCCAGTACGTCTGAGGAGCACAGCTTCCTGGAGTCCAGCTTGATCCGCAATCGATTGGAACAGTTAGTGAGATTTGTGGGACTTTCTGTCAACTCATCAAGGAAAAACAATCTCTTATCTAGTTACTCCTATGTGCCCAGGGCAAGACTTGGTGACTCAATGATGAATCAGCAGGACAGATGATTAGGACAAGAGATGGTCTTGGAAAACTCATTACCACATTTGCAGTAGGAACTTTACTGAAAATAATACCTAAATACTGAGGGTGTGTGTGTGTGTGTAAGTGGTACTGGGGACCGAACCCAGAATCTTCACATTGAGCTACATACCCAGCCCTTTTTTTATTTTTTCCTTTGAGAGGGGATTTCACTAAGTCACTAAATTGCCCAAGGCTGGATTGAACTTGTGGCCCTCCTGCCTCAGCCTTCCAGGTGCTGGGATTAGAGATATGCAACACCTACATGGTTTAGAATGCTGAAAGTCTTGAATACCTAGGCCATTTGGAGTTCATTTAACAGATAGGGAGCAAGGTCAGGATCACTGTTTGCTTATAAGGAGAACGCTATTAACAGAAGTACACACGATGTGACTGAAAAGTAGAGTGGGTGTTTAAATTTTTAAAAATGTATTACAGTAAAGACACATTGCCATTAACCCTCTCTCAAAATAGTCCCCCTCACTTCAAGCATACCTATCCCATCATTCTTGCCACTTTCTGAAGCAGTTCTAGAAGTCTTTTTTTTTTGGTATGGCAAATCGAGCTCATGACCTTGAGCTTGCCAGGCAGGCGCTGTGCCCCTGAGCCACATCCCCAGCCTGAAGTCTTGTTTTGTAAGTGTCTAGTTGTGCCGTTATGGATGCCTTAATGTTCTGAATCAATTCAAAATGTTTCCCTTTCATGGCCATTTTGACTTTGGGGAAAGAGCCGGAAGTTTCACGGGGCCAGACCCAGGGAAAGAGGTGGATGAGGACGCACTGCCCCGTTTTTACGGTGTTGCCTTGCCATTGGACGACGCGTGGCAGCAACATTAGCCATAGTTTTGATCACACCTTGTTAATCGCTCTCGCATGAGGTGTCCTGAACTGCTTCGGAAAGTGGCAAGAACAATGGCATAAGTGTACTCAAAGCAGGGTATTTAAGGGGATTAATGGCAAAGTGTTTTTGTTTTTATTACTGTAATAATATTTTTAAATGTCAGCGCTCAGTGTATATTTCAGATGCCCCTTAGGTATGACATAGGCTGGAGGGTCACAAAGGAAGTCACCAGGGCAAAAGTGGGGCAATGATACCAGCAAGGGAGATTATCCTTACAGGTTGTGGCCCTGGCATTCTCACTTCCTAGAAAGGAGACTCCTGAATTCCTAAGGTTAGAAGAGCCTGATACGAGTCACAGGTGTTCCAGACTTTCAGGCCTTTCTCGAGGGCTTGCTAATCTGAAATGCAAGCTTCCTCAAGTAAGGATATTTGGTGTTAATTATAACAGGGCAGTGACCCAATTCTTTTGCTAGAAAAGTACATTAGGACACATTTTGTTATGAAGAAAAGTATAACCCACTGTGAGATCCTTTGCAGAGGACACACAGCTACGCTAGCAGCTATTTCCCCAACACCGGCCACACTGTAGGGTGCCTGTGCAGTCAGCGTGCTCGCGGGTGCAATGAGAACAGGCTCAGAGTGGACCCTGGGCCTAGGAAGAACCAAAGTTCCTCACGGTGTGGAAGTCTATGGGCCGCCTAGGGATTCCACCGCAGTGGCGGTAATTGTCCTATGAGTGAAGGTCTCAGCGGCGTGAAAGGGAGGGGAGCAGGCTGAGCGAAGTACCTGAAAGTTACCGAGTAAGGTCATTCCAAAGGAAGCCAGGCACAGCGCTACCAGCCCGCTGACATTCAGCCACGGGTTGGAGACCTTTGGTTTCAGTTGTATGAAGCGCAGAACAGCTACCACCAGCGCTGGGAATAAAGCAAAAACCTTAAACTTAGAAAGTTTAAATCAGACACCCGGACTGTGAGGCAGAGTTCTACAGCCACGACGTGCAAAATTAAACTTCTGACCACAGTACAGCTTACGTCTCTGAAATGACGGTTTTTCACAGAAACTTTCCGCGTGGTGCACAGTGTTTAGGTGTTGGCACCCACAGCGCCGGGGAGGCACAGAGCAGCCTCATACTGCAGTGCTGTGTGGGCCCGGGCGGGGGCAGGTGACAGGGCACAGGGGACAGGCTGGCTCTGAGACAGTGCAGGGCGTGGCACGTTAAAAACGCAACGGGGCAGAGGCAGAGCGCGGTTCCGGGTCCACTCTCAGTCGCTCTTTAGCTCAGGACAGGGCAGGAAGACGGCGAGGTCCGCCCAGGGATGGGAAGGAAGAGAAGGAAAGCACAGAGCCCTTGGGAGGGGTCTGACTCCCTCTGCCCTTGACCCTCCCAGTGGTGTTCAGTCCAAAACCGGGCCAATCCAAGTTAGAATGGCCACAGTTACATGATCTGTATTTTAACACAGCACATTTGGGGGTGGAGGTGGTAAGTACTAAAAATCATACTTCTATATCAGGAAATTCTTTCAAATGATAATTAACTACTCATTTGATTTTTTAAAATTTATTTTCATGGTACTGAAGACTGAAGCCAGGGTCTTTGTACTGAGTTACAGCCCCAGACCTTTTTGTTCTGAGATAGGGTTTCACTAAGTCACTAAATTGCCCAGGCAATTTAGGGGTTAAACTTGTGATCCTGCGGCCTCAGCTTCCTGGAGTACTGAAATTACATGCATGCGCCACCATACCCAGCCCTAATTACTTGTTTTAAAAGGCTGCTCTATCTTTTGAAGCAAATTGGTATCTGAGAATTTGAAGAGAGATGGGGAAAGTTACTTAGATTTCAAACCTGACTTCTAATAGTAATAGTCCACATTCAAGCCACTAATCTAAGAATCACCTTTTATTAATAACTTAGTAAAGAAATATTTTCATATTTATACCATAAGCTGAGAGCCAGTTAACAAATGATGAAAAACCATTTGCAACTAATATAAACTGTATCTACAGATAAGGAAATGCAGGTACTACTTCCTAAAATGATTAACTTTGACATTAAGGTTCAGCAGGGAATTTGAAATTCAAGATTTACCTCATTTACATAGCAATTAAGTTGATAATTATTCCATTTTTAAGTTGGTAGTTATTCACTAATGGTTTTGATTACAGGCCCTTATCCATAGTCATTAATAAAAAAAAACTCTACCCATAAATTTGCATTTCCCAAGTATGCTGAATTTCAGAGCCTCAAGCTGTAAATTAACCACTGGGAGGTGGTGTTCAGTTCCAAGTTTCTACTTCCGAGCAGCAAATGATATAAAGATTGATTCATACTTGAATTGTGGAACCAAAATACAAATAACCCGTGATTTGTGCAATCTCAAATTATTCAGCGCTGATACAGTTCTTAGCATATTTAGGCTGGTGCCCACTACTGCTCAGAAAATGAGTCAATTACACTTGAGTTGACAACAGTTTTGCAAACAGCTGGCTTGAGGGACCTAGTTAGGAGTTATATCAGAAGTCTATTCATGACTATGACTGTCCTAGATGATGCACAAGGTCTAATTAAATTTTCAGGTCCACAGGGCATGATGGCACACATCTGTAATCCCAGCAGTTCAGAGCTGAGGCAGAAGGATCACTGCAAATTCAAGGCCAGAGTGAGCTACATAGTGAGCTCAAGGCCACCATGAACTACGGGCAAGACCCTATCTTGAAAAAAAAATTCCCACATAGAAAGCAGAAGTGGGGAGAGGCGTAATTCAACATTTAGCACTGACACCAAGTGGTCACCTGATAAAGGAGCCATGAGATGAGGACCAGAGAGCTGGACTTGCTAATTCACTCTGTGTGGCACTTAGGGAACAGTGACAAAATACCCAATGGCACGTTTCATTTCTTTACAAATGACTAGTGAAGAGTGTTCTCCCGTGAACTCTCTTGGCCATTTATTTTTGTTTGACCTGTTTTTGAGACAAGGCCTCACTATGTAGCTCACAGGCCACAGGCTGGCCTTGAATTCACAAGAGATCTTGCTGCCTCTGTCTCCAGAATGCTGGGATTGCAGGCATGCACTACCATGCCTGGCCTGGCATTTAATTTTGTGGGACAGAATCATGTTGGAATTTTGGCCTATGCCCTAAAGCTTGTCCCTGATAGAGCTCCTCATACACCTCACCCAGCCAAATGGTCGGCTCTTTTATGCACAAGGGAAAGGAGGTGATGGTCACTTTCTGTGTTAACCATTTCTTATCAGTCAACATGGGACATGTATCATGTCTTGGTTCCAGCAATGCCAACCTTCCTATTTGTAATATAGGTAATATGGTTTAGAGCTAGAATGTCCTCCCAAAAACTTCGTGTGTAGGAAGGTGTGGTACTATGCCCATCAGTGGATCCACTGATGAATCTATAGCTAAATGTGAGGTTAGGAGATCAGGCCTGCTCAGAAGAGGTAGGGCCACTGGGGTAGGACCTAGAAGGCTATATCTCTCTCTGGGTCCTCCCTTTTGTCTGCTTCCTGGTTGCCATGATATAAGCAGCTTTCTTCTACCCAGGCTATTCAATGCTGTTTCTGCCTTGGAGCCATTGACCATGGACTGAAACTTCTGAAATCGTGAGCCCAAAAAACTCTCTCTCTTTTAAGTCATGGGTGCTGAGTATTGTGTCTCAGTGATGAGGAAAGTGACTGAGAGAATGGGTGACAAGTCACTTTATCATGAGATGGTGATGAAATTATACAGGAAGTAGGAACATATCTGGAGACCATAATTGAACCTAGCACTCCTAACTTCCAGAATTGCATTCTGAATACCACACTTTGCCCTTTTATCTATTAACTCCATTGTTAATTAGTTCTAATGAGGCAACACTTCCTTCTATAATAAATTATAGCTAACAGAATGGTGAAACTGAAGAAGATTCAGGTCCTACAATAGTTTTATTGGCTGTTAGATTTGAATGGAGGCAGATTCAGACTATATGTTATAAGTCCAACATTCAACCAAGTAGTGATTTATGTACACCTTCCTGAAAAACTTCTGGGCAATAAGGAAATTTCAAAGGTATCTTTACATGTGCTGACTGGCCTTTGCCAAGTTCACTTTCTGATCAATGCATATACTTTGTGGTTCCATTAAACATTTTAGATTTTATCAACAGTTGGCTTGAGAAAAAGTTTTAAAAACCCACCCTTGTGCTACTATTTATAATAGTCCTTTGCTCTACAGCTGTCCCCTATTTAATTTTCCTATTTTTAAAGAGAAAAAGTAGCCAATGTGATGGGAGGCTGGAGAGAAAAAGC